GCCAATTGAGAGTACTAAAATCTTTAGAAACCACTTTTCAAAATGCACATCAATAATAATTTTTTTTTCTTATAATATAATGTTGTCCATTTACTATAAAAATGCATTTAGTAGTCTTATTGACTAATGTATACAAATATTGACATAAGGAAACATCGTAGAATAAAAGTACCAATATAATTGTTAAACTTAACAAAACATATTGGAAAAAATGAATCCATAGAGGTCATTATCTAAACCAAGTTAAAAAAGGTATTCATGCCACTAGATCCTATTTTCAAGTAGATAAACTTGTAATAGGTCACTGCTTAGATATTTAGGGTTGGGGTATAAAACCTCATACAACAAAATTACAAGTGAACCTTAGTACTATATGTTGGCTTTCCCAAAACATATACTTGTATCTTCTTTTGAGGTTTGATCAATTTTTTCATGGTTATGTTGTTGAAAATCATAAGTCATCCAAGTATCTAGTCTCTAATAGTAATTCACATCAACCACTAATAAGAAATCTCCTAAAACTCTTTTTAAAATAGAGGGACTTGCATGCTTATAAATGCTAGCTCTCTTTGTCTTGTAACTTGTGTAATTGTTCTTCTTTTATATATAATATGAGACATAATATTCTATTTAAAGCAAAACCTAATTACTCTATAAATGTCAATTTATCCAATTAAATAATATCAAATATATTATTTTAGGATTACTTTTAAAAGTTTATTCAATTATGTCCCAACTTGGTTTTTTTATGTCTAGAATTGTAATTTTCTATATTAATTATATTTTAGTCTTTAATTTCTAAAACTTAGTTACAATCAAGTCATACTTGATTAATTATCCTAATTTATTTCGTGATCAATACTTCTTAAAATGTGTAACTCATTAGGTTCCTAATAAGTTGGACTAAATATAAATCATAATTCTAGATTAAATAAATTAAATAATTTAATTTATTATCAATAAATAAATAAATAAATTTATATTTAAAGATTAAGTGTATTATCTAGCAACGTTTCATGATCCCTTTAATGTTAGAAAAATTATATATGGTTTGACTAAACCTTTCAATGAGTAGTTTTTGAATGTAATTATTATCCTTTAACAAGAATGTTTTTTATTTAGACATAGCATGAAATATGCATGCTCTATGAAATCATGTTTGTTTTCAGCACTATAGTCATTAATTTTTTAAATAAGATATGAAATTCTTTTCAAATCCCATTCAATGTTGCTAAAAAATTTCACAATCAAACCATTAGGGAACAAGTAGAGTATTTTTTCTAATTTATCTAAGATGATGAATCATCTCTTGATCACTCAAATACCTTAATATAATTCATGTTATACCTAATATATGCTCGTTAATTAGCCTTTAATAGAACAACTTGTAGTCAGGATCAAAGCATAACATTTTCTATATAAAATAACTTAGTGATCTCAAACATAAAGATCACTTATACAACTGTCATGTGAGTATTTCTGTAGATAATAGAGATCTCTCTATATAAAATTCTCATACAGGTTTGTTTGGAGTGCATATCATCTAAAAAATAACTACATATTAGTTTTAGATATCTCTTATATCTTAACTTATGAGAACAACTATTTTCTTTCATAAATAAAAGAATATAATATATATCAGTCTTAATGACTCTAATTAATGTCTAATATTAATAAAGCATTGGCTAGAAACATTTATTGATAATGCTTTAATGAAATATGAATCTTATAACTATAACAACTTTATAATTTCTTTTACAAAATATTTTTTTCCAAGGATTTTATCTTTATTCAAGATTTATTAATCAAACACAAATGAATATTAAACATAAAGAAGTCTTTATTAATAATAAATATGTTTTGTATGAACAAAGTTAATGCCATGTGTAATCAACCAATTAACTATAGGAAAAATACGTTAACACTATAGTGTAAATGATCATTAATCAACCATTATCCATGGGCTACTGTTGTATAAACAACAAGTTTAGCAATAACACCTCCTAGGATTTTTCTTGAGTTTGATGATCTTAATAAAAAGCTCATTCAATTATTCATTAACATAACTTGATATACCATTATTGATTATTTGTCTTGATCGAGAGTAGTTGATTATAAATATATTAATTCACTAATTGTTATCAAATGAATGAATGATATCAATTAAGAGTGGCATAATAACCTGGATTTTGAAATGGACAAGCTCAAGTTGAAACATCTATTTGAGGTACAACTGTTTCAAGTAAACTTTCGTTCACCCATATAGGTAGACCATTGGAAAATTAGGTATAACATATCATTAGGAATAGAAGACAAATTACAATATAACTTACCTCGGTAAAATATTTTAGGGTGATAATATCTTTTCCCAAGCATAATCAATCCCTTACCTTAGAATTGTAAAAACCAGTTAAGATTCAAAATGACTATCATACCAGGTGACAACTTTTTTTTAATAAGTTTTAGACCTTTTTCATCCCAAAACCTAAAGACCCTTCCCTTCTAAGAACATGGCTAGTTGCTATAATGTCTATATGATAACACAATAAAATAAAATAAATATATGAGTGAAAAATCACATATTTCCTAAACAAAGTTGTTTTCACACACATATATAAGTAAAAATATAACAATATAGTTTTATGAAATGAATCTAACATTGTTGAGAATCTACTAAAAATAAAATAAATCTAGATAAAAAAAATATAAGAATGAAATGTTGTTGATTTTGAAAACAAATCCATGCATATATGTTCATAAAAATAAGAAAGTTTAGTTTTACAAAATGAAACTAACATTATTCAAAGTAAAATAGAAAAAAGAGTGAATTGTATCATATATGTACAACCTTATTGTAAGAAAGAAGAAGAAAAAAAAAAAGGAATGAGAGTTTAGGGCTTACTTTAAAGGTGGTTTTAAAAGAGTGGGGAGCTATTGTGGTGGCTTCTAGTGGTGAAGATGATGGTGGTACTCATGATGGAGAGGTTTTTTTTTTATTGTTTTCTTTCTCTAATTACGTGTTTCTCTTATTTTTTCCTTTTTTTTATTTTCTTTCTCTCTCCCATCTCCTATTTATTAGTTCAAAAAGTACATTATTTTTAGTTCAAAAATTCTATTTTTCTTATTCTCTTTCCAACTCGGTGATGTGAACCTCCTGAATATAAAGATCTAGAAACCCACTCAAATCAACATTTCTCAAGAAAGTTAAATTCAAGCTTTGAACTTGAGATAATGATAACATATACTGAGGCACCAAGACTATAAATAATAAATAAAAACATAGAATATGCCATGAAGCTTGGTCAGTTATTTGATAAATTAGAGTAGTTCAATGAAGAACAAAAAAGTATGAGCAAAACTTCATATACACAATAATAATTGTTAAAATCAAATCTATAAAAAAATCCTAATTATAAGCTATTTATCCTAGGTAAAAATATCCTAAAAATGCTGAAAAAATAATAAAAGTATTTTAAATAAAATAAAAAAAATAATTCTAAATGAAGTAGAAAACTAATATAATTCATACATAGTAGCTTCTAGATCTTCTTATGAGACCTTCTTGATGTTCGACTAACTTGAAATTTAACCTAAAATAAAACAAGGCCTTTGGAATCTTCTAATAAAATTTTCATCTCATCCAATAATTGAATAAAAAATTATGCTTGTTAAAGTAAACTATGTATTAGAAAAAATAAGCATCTAGTTACCAAAATTAATTAGTACATGAAGTAAATGGACCAAACTCCTTTTTTATATAGATTAAACTGACTAAAGTACAATCATTACTTGTTAAAGATATAGCTTTTTTGAAATTCACCTTGACCCAAATACTCTAAATAAGCTAATTGAATGCTTCTTTAAGCTTTTTTTTTTCCTTTTGATCTTGCAATCGATCAATTTGAAACTTTTCATGGATCCTTAGGTGGTTCGATTTTGTTTCTCATAGTATTCAACTTTGATAGGGGAATATCTCTTCTGTAAATCAGCCTTCAAGTGGAAAAGGAATCCAAATAACCTTTTTGGCGTATATTACCTTCTCTACCTTGGTAGCCATTTGAACCATATCCTTTACTTCAACATAATGCTGAACTTAACCACATTAGTAATCTCTCTATTCAAACCACTTAAAAAATCTTTTCATTGTAACATATCTTTCCTCTATAACATTAGCTCTAATTATGATAATCGTCATCTTTTATAACAATCCTAGACCATTGAGTCAAACTTTGTAATCTTTAAAACAATTCCTCATAATAACATCTATGAATAAACCTCTTTCTCATTATTTCTTTCATTTCATCCCAAGTCTTCGTGGGTCTCTCTCCATTCATTGTTTTACCTAAAACAATTTGATCCCATTAGATAATAGTATACTTAGTAAACTCAATAACAAGTTTTACCTTATTTTCCTTAAAGTATGGGGTGACAATAAAAAATTAATTTTATTTTCTTCTCTCACTCCAAGTATGCTTTATGATCATTTTATTTCCTTGAAAAGTCAAGATCTTATCTTAATACTCTTAAAATTTCTCTTCAAATAATAAAAAAAACCACTTTTTTGGTCTGCTCTCCTTGGTAGAAATGTCCATGTGGTTGAACTCCCTCATACCTACAGTTTTTATGTTGCTGAAACCTAGCATTATAATCATTATCAAAATCCTCAGTCTTCTCATCTACATTTTTTTTTTTGTTATAAACTCTTCTAAAGGTGAAATAACTTGTTTTACAAGCCCTCAAGACCTCTACGACCTGGCCATCTCATGGGTTAGGTGTTTTAATTATCAATTACCCTCAGGACCTCTACGACCTAGCTCATGGGTTAGGTGTTTTAATTATCAATTCACCCATCCTATTCATAACCTCTCTAAACTTCATGTCCATCAACTCTTGTTGTTACATAGCTAAAACACCTCATTCCATGAACTCTAATTGTTGTTACATAGCTCAATAAACTCATTCCGGATTATTCCTATCCTTTGGTGGTAATGATCCACTTTTAGTTAACTTCGTTAAGATCCAAAAATCACTGTTGCAAAGTAAATTTTGAGAGAACCAATAAGCAGGAATTCAAAATGATGAGCTAAGGATGCAGGGGCCTTTACACGTAACATAAGAACATAGAGAGGAGTAGAGGCAGGGAGAGGACTGAGGGGAAGAAGAGATAGAGAGAAGGAGCAGAAGAGAAACACACTAATTGCATTGATTATTTTTGCACACCTTTCTATTTACATGCGGTGCCATAGTTATAGGAAATGTGTATTCTATAATCTGTTACAAAAGTCACACGCGACTTCTTGTAACAATAAATTTAACAGAATTGAAACACAAGGCTAATGTTGGCAGGGTGATTTCTTTATTTATTTAAACGGTGCATTTAGTTAAAATGCTAAAGCAATGGCGTTTTGTTACTGATCTTTAGTTTAAACTGATTTTCCCGCTGCTGTGTGTTTTTGGCTCGCAACAATCACATTCGTAGTAAAAGAAATATATAATCACTTCTCTTGCATGTTTACACTCAGTAGATGTCACTCCTCTCATGTTTCATATAAAGTTTTGATTTTTCACTGTAATAAGCTCATATTTTGCTTTTTATCACTCAATGTAAAAAAAATCAACTCTTTAAGGAACTAATTCACAACAAAATAGAAAAATTCTGGTTTCGTATGCTGCATTAATGAATGGCCTTTGTAAAGAAGGAAGGGTTCCATAGAATGGTTCGTAGAGGGTTGAATCTCGATGTTGTCTCGTATAATTCTCTTATTTGTGGTTATTGCAAGGAAGGAAAGATGCTAGGGTCCAAGTCATTGTTGCAGGAGATGATAGGAAACGGGATGCCCTGATAGTTTTACTTGTCGGGTTCTTATTCAAGGATATGGTAAAGAGGGAAGGCTATTTCTGCTTTGAATTCGGTTGTGGAGCTTGAGAAAATTGATGTTTCAATCTCTCCAGATATTTTATGATTATCTAGTAGTTTTGTTATGCGAAGAGGATCAACCGTTTGCAGCAAAGAAAGACTCTTCTGGAAAGAATGTCTGAGCGTGATTATATACCTCATGTAGAAATCTATAATAAACTCATCGAGTCCCTCTGCAAAAGTGATTGTGTAGCAGATGCTTTACCTCTAAAGCCTACTCTTCTAACCTATAAAGCCCTCATCTGCGGCTGGTGTAGAATGGGCAGAAGCATAAAGGCTGAATAGTTGATGGAAGAAATGCTTCATTCTGGTTTGCAACCTGATCCAGAAATATGCATAGCAATGATACATGGGTCCCGTGGTAAAAGGGATGCAGGCAAAGCAGAATCACTCTTGGTATTCTTTGCCAGGGAATTCCAGGTTTTTGATAGTGAGAGTTATATTATACTTCATCAGCATTGCTTGCGAAGATGGTGATGCGGACAAGTTCACAGAGCTGCAAGATCGTATGATGAAGCTTGGATTTGCACCAAACAGTAATCCGGGACTGGTCAAAGAAAACTTCTTGAATGACATACATGATCAATAGTTTGAAAGGGAAATCTCAAATTTTCTCTGGCTAGGTGATCCGATCGTTAGCAATGCGCCCTTGGCTAACTATATGGCCATGGCCATGTGGGGGCGTGCATCGTATTAGAATTTCGCACCGGTGAACGTGTGCTGACTCGCAGTTTCATTTTGGATAGACAGTGGAAATTGCAGATTGCAAGGTATAATCTAATAGAACAAGCAACCCTGTAACAGTGTCCAATTCTTAAGAGAAAAGGATCAGTGCCCATCTTGTATTATTTCATGAAAAGCTTCCTTTTCTTTTCATATCCAGCCTTCTGGGTCACAACTGAGCACTCTGTACCCGTGGAGATGAAATTGAGGGGTAAAATCAACAAGAGAGCATGCTGTTTAAACACTGTCGACGCACAATTTCTGATTAAAGGAAGGAGAAATGAAACCAATCCAATCCATATGCTAAATTAAATTAAATTAAAATTGAAGCAAGCAAAGCATACAGCACCATCACTACTAGCAGCAAGTGTAAAGGTTTTTCATCACAAAAACAAGCTACTCCAACAAATGAAAATTAAGGACAAGCTGTTGTGTTAAACAATAGAACATTTAGCTCCAGCCTCTTCAAGTTGCTTCTTGGCCTCTTCAGCTTCATCTTTAGAAACCCCTTCTTTAAACTTCTTAGGCAATCCTTCAATCAATTCCTTGGCCTCCTTCAATGCCAAGCTAGTCAAAGCCCTAACCGATTTAATCACCGCAATTCTAACATTACTGGGCACTTCCTCAATAACAACATCGAACTCCGTCTTCTCCTCTACCACTGCTGCTCCCGCGTCAGCTGCAGCCCCTGGCGCAACACCCACGGCAGCTGCTGGTGCAAATGCAGCAGCCGAAACCCCGAGCTTGTCCTGAAGGTAGTCGACGAGGGTGCGGGCTTCTTCGAGGGTCAAGGAGGAGATTTCTGCACCGAGTTTCTCGATTTTTTCAGGGGCAGCGACAGCGGCGACGGGGCGGACGTGGGAGGAGCGGAAAGAGAGGGGGAGTTGGCGGCGAGGGAAGAGGAGGAAGTGTTTGGTGGGGGAGTGTGCGGTGGGGGACGATGGAGAGTGGAGAGAGAGTGTTGGGGTTGTTGTAGAGAGGGGGTTTGTTGTTGCCATTTCTGACGATGGGGAATCCAAGGATTTCTTCTCTTTTCTATGGAGATGAAATAGAGAGAAACAGATGGATAGTTTTCTAAGGAGATGAAATAGAGAGAAACAGATGGATAGGGGTTTTGAGGATAAGGTTATGGAGACAGAGAAGAGGAGATGGAAGGTTTATGAAACGATGGTTTCTTATTTTCCTTTCCCTTTCCTTATTTTTTAATATTAAAATATTATTTTTCTTTCTTATAGATTAATATAAATCTTATATAAAAGGTCCCCTTTTTTTCTCTTATGTAATAACTAGACTAAAAGGTCCTTGCATCGGGAGGGAGAGCCTCTTGTTTTAGGGGTATATTTGTCAGCCAGCCTGCACTCTTGAAAATAAATAAAAAAACAAAAAGCCTGGGGCATTCCGAGAATCGAACTCGGGACCTCTCGCACCCAAAGCGAGAATCATACCACTAGACCAAATGCCCGTCTGTGTGCAATAAAATAATATTTTAATATATTTACCTTTTCCTTTCCATTTCAGCACCGCAGGTTTAATTGTGGATGAAAAGGTGAGTGCAGGGTAACCATTTCCAATCTGGGTTAAGAGGATCGTATATTTATAGTTGTTTTTTAAATAAATTTTTATATTAAAATGTATTAAAATAATAATTTTTATTAATTTTTAAAAATTATTTTTAAAATCATGCTAAAATAATTTAAAATATATAAAAAAATTAAAATATTTTAAAAATACAGTTTGCATTGCATTTTTAACAAACACTAAGTTATTTTTTAAATGATTGTTTAAAGTCTTTACTTAATTTTTTTAAAAAAAAATTAAGAATAAATAAAATATATTTGTCAATTGTATTATATAAAATAAAAATTATATTCACTTAATAAAAAAAACCTTAAAAATAAAGATTGTCAATGCCTCACTTGTCCTCTATAAATAAATAATAATAATAAAACATGTATTAAATGACACACAATGCTAGATTTATTTATTTATTTATACTCCTTGACCAAGTTCATGTCTTGTTCTCTAGATAACATTTTGGAATCACAGATGAATCTGAACAAACCAAACAACACAGTACCACGTATATCAATCACAACAACAAAATGAAGTGGTTCGATTTAGTACTCAGAAATATATTGAAGTTAATCACACGAGATCATAGTATTCCAAATCTCCTGACCTATTAATGCTACAACATGGTATCATAAAATCCATTCTTAAACCCCAGTAACCCTACTAAATTGCTTTGGAAACCGCAACTTCACCACCTCCGGCGCCTCTTTCCGTACCAATATGCAAACGCGGCTATTGATGCCGCCATGATAACACCAGCCGTTGCATGCCAAGCAAACAATGGCCTCTCCAGAACAAGGGTAGAATCACTAACATCAGTAGGTGGAGATGTCAGTGGTTTCTTACTAACTGTCAATGCAAAGCCCAAACCCTGCCTTTCCAGCTCAGTAATGTCGTCTATTGCTGGCTTAAGTCTTGTGGTCTTGGCTAGAGCTTCATACTCTTCTTTCGTTCCTCCTTCAAGGAAAGATCCAACAAGGTGACCTTTACTTACCCAGTATGCTCCAATTGTATTCCCCGAGTAATCCCCAAAATGCACCACTTCCCCTGCATTGTCCCCATAAAACTGCCAGGAAAATGTGAAGACTCTGGAATAGAAAAAGGGCAGGTAATCAAACTCATCTGTTTTCTCAGGCTCCATTATCGCTGCAACAGCATGTTTTGCAGTCTTCCGTGCCGAGTCAACATGCTCAAGCCTACGTGTTTCACCAAATAGTTTCACTGGAAATGCAGCAACATCTCCTACCGCATAGACCGAGGTGTTGCTTGTTTGCATTCGTCCATTTACTTTGATCCCACCTTTCTCCAAAGTCAGTTGGCCTTCAAACAGGCTTGTGTTTGGACGGATCCCAATGCCCACTACAACCATGTCAGCAGGAAGCTGACTTCCATCTCGGAGATTAACAGCGGTAATCTGAAAAGGATGAATTGGATTGGTTAAGCCAGACGTGGTGATCAATTTTTAAGGAAGCTAAAGCTCCTGATGCTTATGAACTCATGAAGCTTCCTGCATTTTGACATTTGTCACACCGGAAAAATTATAAGAATCATCTGATGAACCCAATCAGCATAACAAAAACTGTAACAGTAACCAATACCATGCCTGAAATATTCCGCAACATAAAACAGATTGAGACAAGTTCTAGCAAGATTGTTAGGTGGCAGGAGATTTACCTTTCCAATGGGGTCAATCTCAAAAGATGACAGGACAGTTCCTTTTACGAATCGAACTCCTTTTGAATTGTAATAGCCCTCATAATAACTTGCAATCTTGGGAGTAAACAAACGAGCCACTACAAAAGGCAAAGACAGTGACAGATTTTACTAGTAACTTGTATTCAAGAAGAAATCAAGACAATAGTTTGGGAAAGAATTGGCAATCCTAAATTTTTGTGGTCAGAAAACATGGCAGGAAAATCTTCAAAAACAACTGTTCTTGCATGAATAAATGCAAACAAGTTTGATAGATATGAGACGTTCCACAGCCTTTAACTTCAAAGGTTTTCTTCCTCAAAAATAAGTTTTAAGATCTCAAAAGAGGAAGCATAAAACAGCATTGGGAGCGCACTTACTGCAATGTACTTCCGGGAAAACCATAGTGACATTAATTCGATTTGTCACCAAAGAGGCAGCACACTCCATTCCTATATAGCCACCACCAATAACAACAGCGTTCCCAGAAGCACAAGATTGCATCACATCAACAACCCTGTTTGCATCAGCTAAATCTCGCAAATAACAAACATTTTCCGCATCTGATCCACTCACTCCAAACTCTTCAAGCTTTAAAGCCTACATTGAACAATGAAAAAAAAAAAAAAGAGTTACTTTAATGTCATATTATTACTTGAACAATGCAATTCACTTTCTACACAACTTATTATTTCAATGAAATTTTTATAAAGGCCAACGGTTTTTTTTCTTCCTTTTTTTTTTAATAAGAGTCTTTTGAGAACCATATCCAAAGTTAAAATATGACAAAAAATGCAAGCTAACATGATGATAAGATCTAATTGAACATTTTGTATCTCCAATATTATATATGTTTAACAATGACAAGTGGTCCCATTCAAAATGCTACCAAACAAAACGACATGGATTGTAATTCCTCTACTTTTCCCAAAGCAGAATCAGATCCCTACTTGGTATTTTTATACTGCATTTACCCAACATTAAAAACATCAACTAACCATCTGAATAAAAAATAGCATCAACAAATTGAAAGATCAGTTTCAATACCCGAGCACCTGTTGCAATAATGAGAATCTTATAGCTTATAGTCTCGCCAACTGCAGTTAGTAGTGTCTTGCGCCTCACATCAACAGACTTAACTCGAGTTCCCAGAATCAATTCAATTCCTAGAAAAAATAATTCATATACCCATCAATTAGGGATAAAACATAAAAGTAAGAATTTCAACTGCCAACAATTTAGAAGACTTGATATTAAACTTGCAACAGAAAACATTTCGCTGGTATTTATGTCTGAACAAATTCTACAAGGAGTTTTTCCCCAAAAATGAAGAGACATTTACTTCTGATTTTGGTTACTTTGGATGTAGGTAAAATATGAAGAGCTGTATCCATCACAAAATGCTTGATTAAGACTACCTAAGTAATTAGTAAGTCTATATTTCCACAAGAGAAAAGCACGTCTCATTTTTACTTCCGTAAAATTCTTTATAGCAACAGGTTAACTAATTAAAGATGCTAGACTCGATAGTCAAAGAACTTTCTCATGTCAACGATATTAACAAGCAGATATAGTACAGCAACCTAATTGACAACTTAAATCTACACATGAAGCATAATGATCATAGTTGCTGTATTTAGTAATAGGTAATAAAAGCCTCATTGTACAAGTCTGCAACCCAATTGGATCAAACATTCAAATATAATACAACTGCAATCGATACAATTCATGTCATATATATAGTTGAGCAGGTGAGATCACAAATATCAAGCGGGAACAGAATTGGATAACTTGAATTCATTCTGCATTTTTTTCATCTACCTCTGCTCCCTTGACATTTGATATAAGCAAATTATAATTACAGGTAATCTAGATAAGAATGTATGAAGGATGCTATAGCTGAAAGCTAAATAATTCCAATTAGAATGCATAAAGAACCATCCAGATTCTAGACCAAAAAACATATGGATAACATAGCAAACTTTGAAATAGGTATTCCAGAGAATAAGTGCAGTGCTATAAGATTATTATTCTCATTGGTCAGTGAAAAGAATCATATGAGCCAAGAACAGATTACCGTGTTCCTTATACCATTTTGGAGTCAACCTTTCCTCATTAGCTCCAACACAAGTGTGAAACGATGGAAGGCGTGCTGGAGCTGCATGTTAGCAAAAGTTTCAATAAAAGGCTCATTCTTAGAATAATAAATGAACAGGAGGAACATAAAACAACAAAAGATTAGCATTTTCCCTCCCTAGTTTAGTTGTGAATTTTAGGAAAGCACATCAGGAAAAAGAAACCAAAGCCCCCGCATTGCATCCAGACTCAAAGTTGACTATCCCAAAGTTCAGCCTGACAAAATCTATGTTACTTAGGCAAAGCTATTGACTAATAACAAGCAGCACATTTCAGTAGATTATTTATATGTTACACTACATAAAGAATTCTACCAAAATGGTTGGTTATATTAGAAAACCAGACCCTGAACTTGAAGGATGAGAACTTTTACCTTCAGGAAGTAAATAACCTTTGCTCAATGCAGGTCTCTCGTAAGGTGGAACCTGAAAGAAATCCAGTAGACATTCATGAATCACTATCTAACGAGACAAGGCAAGCAGGAAGTATGAGGCGAATACAATTTTATGACGTACAGAAAAACTTTCATTTCAGTCTTATTATTGTTCCATTGCATAATTATCGCCCGTGCAAGGCTTTTCCCAGCTCACAACTCACAGCCAGCGTCAAGTTTATTCAATCGCACAAGCTAAGCTTTTGTGTAATCACCCCTTAAATTATACCATCAAAATTACATATCAACAACTAAAATATTAATCAAATTCATTTTGCACCTTCAATACTATGATGCCAAATTATAAAGCTGGCACAATTTCAGACCGAAAATGTCTAGTGCACAAACTTTAAAAACCCATATACGAGATTGTTATTAGCTGTGAATTTGAGCTTTTTGGTCCTTTCTGTTTCTTTGGATGATATGATGGGTCAATTATTTGCCTTACTGGTTCCAATGGTGGCAGCTGCGGAATCCGCTATAGGGTTAGCCATTTTCATTATTGCTTTCCAAATTTAAAACCCCACATACCACAATAAGACCAATAGAAAGAGAAGGTAATTGTTCACAAAAATGTCTCCAATGGCTTATATTCCATTAAAAGAATGAGGAAAAAACATGATACAAGTAATATGAAATTGACAATAACCATTGCAGTCTACCATTACTTAAAGTCACAAGGCAAGGCAAGAATTTGTAATCAATCAGCCAATACAAGGAAAAAAAAAAAAAAGAGCCATAGCAAAATACATATGGTACAATGGCGATGCTAACTGTTCAAATTTCAGAATCCTCCTTATAGTTAAGCAGCATGCTATTCATTCTTGGGATTTCATAAGCGTAACTCACTTTTCATAATCTAACCAACAAAGATAAAAAAAAAGAGAGGAAGAAGCAGATTTAAGGAGACAAAGCAACTAACAAACTGAAAATTGAACCCATCAAAGAAAAGCATGAATAGAACAAAGAGCGGAAAAAAAATCAGATGCCCGTTAAGGAAAATAAACCTAGAAAGGCTAAAAATATGAGGGTTTTTTTTTTTCGCTCACAGTTTCATCAGAGATGATGCAAAGTTCTCCAGGTGAGACCCCTTTCTTTGTGAATTCAAGAGCTGCATACCCAGCTGCCACTCCTCCTCCAAGAATAACATACACAAATGCTCTTCCCATTTCCTTTGACTCTCCTTCTCCAACCGAAACTCTCTCTCTCTCTCTCCCTCTCTGGTTCTCAAGAGTCAAGAAGACTAGGGAGATTTATTTCAATTCTCCATTTTGTGTTTTGGGTGGCATCTTGTCATCTAAGGAAAACCCACCATCACTTGTACCATTTTAGGCCCTTAAAATAAATAAATAAATAAATATATATATATATATAGATATATATATATATATATCTATATATATATATATATAGATATATATATATATATAGATATATATATATATATAGATATATATATATATATAGATATATATATATATATATATATAGTTCCATCCATTATATATTTCTCAGTTCCTTAGGTATTATAATTCGATTTTTAATCATTTTTTTAAATATATACCTCACAAAATCTCACATACTAAATAATTTTTGTTCTTCTCAAATCACAATTAGAAAATGTAAGACATGGATTAGCTAGAAATATGAATATAGCGTTAAATTACATACTTATTTTTTTTGTTGAATAACATATGTCATGTACTCCAAAGAAGATATGGGAACTACCTTATATCAAACACCTACATGGAGATTTATAAATATCACAAAGGTATACTAACATATTAGTTTTACATATCTTTAATTAGTAATTATGATTTTTTATTATCATATATTCTAAATTATAAAATAAATCTATAAATTGCGATTAATCATTGTAAGGTTTGCAAAACAATATTTACAATATATATATATATATATATATATATATTAAGAACATTAAGGAAATTAGTTTTTATTTATTTATTTATAGAGCAAAATTTATAGCACTTGATTTTATTTTATCTACAAATGTTTGGAACCTGAAGCAATCGTGAGACGGAGAAGATACGGTGGGACCGAGTGTAGATATTGGGAAGCGTGCGGAAAGATGAGTGGCTATGGCTAGGACAAATTGTTGTCGACCCATGAATTGTGGATGAGGCTTCGAATCATGTATACCGACCGCATGGGCAAGTCTTCTGTTCCGAGCTTATCTTGTCTCTTATGGTTGTTTCTATGGTTTGCACACCTTGTGTTGGCTGTGCTCAGAAGCAGCCACCATCGGAAAAAGGATTGTGGCTTTAAGAATTAGCTTGCCCCATTTTCCATGGAGTGAATTTATTTATTTATTATTATTATTATTATTTTGTCATTGATATGGCTAATTTTCGTCTGTGCTGCGGGATGAATATATTTTTATTTCATAATAACAAAACTGCACATTTTTATATTATAATTAAACCCAATATAATGAGTTCTTTTTAAGCACTCACAACCATCTAACCTCTTGTTTAAGCAAGGTTTCAAATTCATTCATGTAAGAGTTGATTTTGTTGACTTAACCGAGTAAAAAAACATAAAATCAAAAAAACAAAATATGATACAGCAAGTTATAGCAATATGAGATTTTTATAAGGTAATTAGATCTTCCAAGTGATTACGTTGTTGCAAAATGGAATATAAATTATTGTTTTTTTAAATATTTTTTTGACGGAGTGTTTCTTGTACGAAGACTCTACCCAAAATAACTAAGTCATAGAATTATAATACAAAAGGTGGCCTGAAGCTCACTATCAATTAGTTCCATCAAAACATAATTATTATAACAATCCTAATTTTTCCGAAACAAATCACCTCCAAACACATAAGCAAACATAACAAAAAAAAAAATTATACAATTTTTGCATAAAAATCTACCAAAATTTTGACAAAGTTTATCATATAGTAGGAAGTCTCAAGTTATCAATATATAACTTGTTTACACTTCTAATATCTCGTATCTCATAACTTCATCACGATCCAATCATCATAAGTCTTAATCCTATAAACATCATCATCATCCCAACCATAATTTTATAATATACATTGAACAAAAAATATCGTTATAGAGGTATGAATGACATAAATATACATATAGGAAACATGATTATATGAATTATAAAGTTAAGTTTATCTATTCAAGTTTAAACATTAATTATACAAATATTTCAATATTTACAAAATACAAGGTTATATTCTCTAGACTAAATAACAAAAAGTGAACAAAAGCTAAAATCTACTCTCGTCATGCATGCGATAATCCTAAAACAAAATATATATTATTGAAACATGAATATCGCAATAATTATAGTAACACAATTATCCAATAATTTAAAAAATGGAGGCATGTATTCTTATTCTATTCATTTCTTTCTTTTTGTTTCCATTGACACTATTTCCCATTCAATTAGTAAACTATTTCATCTTTCATTTTCATTTTTATTTAAGATTCCATAAAATCAACCACATTTATTTCTACCTAACACATTATCGATACAAATTTTACCAGTATCATCATCACCCCATAAACGTCGATGCATAACAATTTCCTTACCCAGGATCCTAATATACACTAAATATATACTAGTTTATGCCTCATGGGCATCAATACATGGTAATCCTCTTATCCAGGATCCTAACATACACTGAATATATACTAGTCCATGCCACATATCACACTTCTCATATCTTTTATGTCAATGATACTACTCCATTACTTGTCAATTCACATGAAAGACCATTCACCTTAAACACATATACATTTAGGATACTACCCGAAAAAATAATATATTTATGCAGACTTTCATTCTTTCATATACTATCTAACATTTACTAATTCAATAACATAATAAATCATGAAATTTATCAAAAAAACATAGGTGTGGATCACCTACTTGTAGTAGAAGCTTTACTTGTGCTCCTCTGCTACTGCTGCTGCACCACGCCTGGGTCCCTTCTGTAATCACAAGCTTATCTCATAAATTATCCTCGTTGAAGGATACATTTCATAATAATCATATTAACAGTCAATACAAGTCTTTCTTTTAATTATTTCTTTTTTTATATTTTATGTTTTCTCATTTTATTTATTAATATTGTCATTCTTTGTTTGACCATAGTTATTGTTGCACATGTGTGGCGTCATGGCGAACCGTCCACCACTTAAGGAAAAATGTAATGGTCTATTTGACAAAATATAGAGAAACAAAGAATTCTTGTCTCTTATCAATAAAATATAGATTGGAAGTCGCCACCTAGTATTCTGGTCACTAGGAACCCTAATTGGTTTTAGAGATAGGGTACGAAAACTGGTTATGTAAAGAAAAAGTATTAGTACCCCAACTACACCCTACTAAGGTAACTGCATTGTTTTGTCTCATAAAATCTAGGGCTTGGTTGTGATGTCAAAAATTTATTGATCTATTTACAGTTTAAGAAAAATCCTTCTCTATAAGAAAATCTTTATCTTATCGGGTAAAAACCTAACTGTTCTATGTCGTCAATGAAAAAAATTACCTTCTTAATATCAGAAATACTTTTTATGTATAAATTCATAATTCCTGATACTAAAACAAAAGAAATAAATTTTTTATTGTTTTTCTATAATTTTGACTAATGTTCTTTTGATTTTAAGAAATAAATTTTTTATTGTTTTTCTGTAATTTTGACTAATGTTCTTTTGATTTTAATAAACTAGTTATTAAAGTCAAAATATATTCTAAAATATTGTTTTTTGATGTATGAAAAACACAATAAGCTTTTTAGTTTTGAGACATTTGGCCATATGTACAAATATATTTTTTGCTTTTTTTAAATTTGTTTGTATTTTTGAAAGCTTGACAAAAATCAAGTATTTTAATACTTATATTTTTATGTTATAAAATACATACTGATATTAAGCAAAAAGCCATAAATCAAAAGGTGGGAAAATTACAAATATTAAAAAATATTCTCTCTTTTAATTTTTTTTTAAAATGCGCTAGACTCGACTCAAATGCATGGGTTGGGCAGAACCTGGCCCAACTACGTGGACTAGGCTTAGCCGAGCTCGTGTGAACAGTGCCCTCCACTATTCACATGCTCCGTGAACAGTGAAGGCATGGCAAGGACGGAGCTAAAGAAAAAAGAAGGGGAGAAGTGCCGACCTACGATGACTGCTGTCATTGGCGGAGCTGCTGGAGTGGACAGGCAGTGACGTTGGTGGCGGCGTTAGTGGTTTGCAGTGGTCGGCAGTGCTGCTCCTTCTTTCTCCTCTCCCTCCTCTATTTTTCTTCTTTCTTTTCTCTTCTGTTTCTTTCTCTTCTTTTTTCTTCTCTCCTTTCTCTCTTAATTTTTCTCTCTTATTTGCCTTTCTATTCTGCCCTCTTTTTGTGCTCTCCCCCTCTGTATTTATAGGTAAAAACAGAAGGGAGAGAGAGGTTAAGGCAGTTATTGTGTTGCCACCCTAAAAACTACCCAAAGGACATATCTCCTTTTTTTTCCAACGTGTGGAAAGCTTCAGGCTAGTGGGGTTGGTCGATGTCTTTTTGAGAGAGAGATGGCAGTGGAAAAACAGAAGAAGACAAAATCTTTTTCTTCCCCTGCTTCGCGTGTTCAGGGGAAAAAAAAGACTTATAGTGTCGTTCAAAATGGCACCGTTTCGATCCTTTTTTTGTGTGAACAGTGTATAAAACGATGCTGTTTTGGATGAAATGCACTGTTTTATTTAAAAGGAAAAAGGCGGTAAAAATGTGTCAGAGTTCACATTGGTCCTCAATTTGTAATTTGTTCTATCAATTTCTAAATTGCAATTTTGATTTAAAAATATTAATTTCTAAATTGCAATTTTGATTTAAAAATCAATGCAATTACACCACTATAAAAAATTAAACAGCGGCCCTTGTGTTGACTGCTTTTTTCACTTTGATCCTTGGTTTCATATTAGTGCAATTTGACTTTCAATTGATAAATAAACTTTTAATTTCTTCAATTTAGCCCCTGATTCGATTTTAATTACAACCTTTTTATTTACATGCCTTTTCAGTTTGGTCATTGGTTTCAAATTTTTTTCAATTAAGTCTCTAATTAGCCATCAAACTTTAATATTTATGCAATTAAGCCCCTGATTTGACCAGATTAACTCTTAAAAATTATAATTAGACCCCAGAACTTTAATTTCTTCCAATTAAAACTCAAATTAACTCCAAAATTAATTTTATTGCAATCAAACCCTCCATAAATTTAATTAAACCTTCAATAAAATTTAATTAAGTCCATAAAATATTTGATCTTAGACTTGTCTTCCTTAAATTGAATTTTCTTTGTCAACAGGGCTCTCATCAATCAATAAAATATTATCAAATTTTAATCTTTGTATTTTAGAACCTCCTCAACTAATTTTTGACCATTTTCTAGGCACTTCGGCCTTCTATTCTCACTGTTCTTATTTTTTTGATTTTTTTCAAACATATATTTTTTTATTCTTTTGTATTTTCTTCTTTTTTGTGCGATGACTTAAAAATAGGTTATAGCAATTATCATTACAAAATTCCATTTTGAATAGGGCTCGTTTCTTTTGGAAACTAAAATGTAATATCATGTGTTCCTTGAAGTGAAAGGACCCAATTTTCACCCTTAATGCATTTAGATAGTTGTTTTAACGACTTTTCAAATCTGCTAGTAAAGGTCATATTCCGGCCTCTCTTCCAATTTTTTAACTATATTCGGAGCTTTAAGACTCCATTTTAACGAGGATGGTCTTTTTGGAAAGTTAAGACATGACGTTACAAGTTCCCTTAAGGGAGGAGAACTCAGTTCTACTCCCAAGAAACTCAAAATTACTTGTTAACTAATTAAACCTACTGCTCTGCAGGATCTTTCATGATCCAGTCTCATTTGATGACCTATAACTGGAGTCCTATAGCTCCAAATTGAGCAAGATCAATTTCCTTAATTAGTCAACATTCAAAACTATAATTTCTATAAGGAACTTAATTTTAATTCCCTTATCCTTCTGCTAGAATTCCCTCTGAAAGTCTGGAGATGAATCTGTTTAGATTTATCAACCTTTTTATTTACACATCACATTCACAATTCAACTTCCTCTCTTTTATCTCAACCCCTAACCATATCACATACCATATAAGAGTGTCAAAAAATATCTTTTAGAGCTAATTTACTCTATTTATTACAACCATATAAAAGTGTCAAAAAATATGTTTTAGAGCTAATTTACTCTATTTATTACAATCTTCCCTCTTACATCAAAATAGAGTATTTTCATCGATTTACTAACTTTCCAAATAATATTCTTCTAAACACAATCCCTCCTATTTTAACATTTGTCTTTCCTTATTTTGACACAATTAAATACACGTCATCAAGTTAAATATGTCAAATTAAACATCCTTTCTCTTTAATGCATAATTGCCCGGAAGCATAACCTTAAGGAACCCATAGTTCTCTTATTCCTTTCATGCTAATTTCATTCAATTCACACACACATTCACTTCACAAACAATCTACTATAATAGATACAGTAAAGAAAAACCATAATCCCTCCATTTTCTCTTTATATGGTCGACTACCTCTTACTTAGTTATCCATATATTTTCTTTGATAAATTATCATAATTGCATGCCCCCAATCACATACAACATATGAATTAACTTAATTTTAACAATTAATACATTTCTCATAATTCAAGTATAAGAACTCTAATCTAAAATTCAACATTAAGGCATCAATTCGTAATCAAATTTAAAACAAAATGACTTATAGAACCATATTTATAACTTCTTATCTAGTAAGAATCAAGGTCTCGATCTTCAACCAGTTGAAAATTTTTGACTCCCTTTTTTACCAATATCTGTTGACCCTCCTTCCTCTTTATTTGTTCAAAATTTCTTGTTAATCTCTTGCTTATAATTATTTATTCTACCTATAAACCCTTAATTCTAGATGAGTTCTTAGAATTTTGGTGTTTTTATCTTGAATTGGAAAGAATAAATTCAAAAACTCCTCCCTTTCTCTTAATATTATTGTTACAGATTTTTAATGAGTAAGGGAGAGGGGTATTTATACATCATAATTTTTTTTATTTACATTTAAGCTTTATTTCCTTTAAATATATTACTTTTACCCCTATATCCTTTTCTTCTTATAATTAAGCTATACTTTTTTTTCATTTCTTATAATTTTACCCCTCTAACTTTTTAGTTTAGTTTATTTCTTTAATTTAATCAAACCCTCAGTATTCCAGGTTAATTTATAATGTCTCGAAATGTTTCGTCCAGAAATTTATATTCGAAAATTTCTAAATTCTCATTTTTATTTAAATATGTACATAAATCTTTATTTAAATCTGTGAGAAATTTATAAAATTAATATTTTTTTTGAATTTTGGATCGTTTTAATTCATTAATCTAATTTTTTAAAATAAAAAAATATTATTTTAATGCATTTTAACATGAAAAATACTTTGAAAACCAACTATAACCACACTAAAAAATAAACTTCACATATCATTTATCCAAAATATATCTTTTCATTATATTGTATTGATTTGAATGAATGGTTTTTATTCATTCATGATTACTTTTTTTTTCAATTCAATTTTAATATTTTGATATCAATTTATTATATATATATAAACACCCAGGTTTCAAACTAATGTCCCGTTTTTTGTCCGCCTGCACTTTATAATTTTTTTTAAATTTTTTATATTAAATTATTTTTTAAAATTTTTAGACATAATAATATTAAAAATATTTTTTAAAAAATAAAAAACATTTTTTAAAAACATTTTTAAACTAAAACTACCTTAAAAACTAACCATTACCATTACCAGAACTTCAAACACAACCTCAAAGTTTCTTGATTTGAGTTTCTGAATTTTCAATCATTTATCAACTCAGTTTTCCTGGAAAACAATAGAAAAAGAGCGTTTAATGTGCCACTATAATATTTCTCACAGATCACAAAGCTGGGATCAATATTAGAGAGTGTTTTGTCTGATGGATAAAGATGAATTAGATATTATGATTTTTTTTTTTGAAGTTGTATGCTGCTGCACAACATAAAAATCAATTTTCCTAATGCTATTTTAAAAGAGACATATCATCAAAAGGAATAGGAAATTCATTGTAGAGTCGTTAGTTATAAAATGATTTGCCTTCGTCTAATATATAGCAATGTACTTCCATCATTCTTGAGGAAATCATGCTCGGCTTTGTTTGATTTTGACTCTGGAAAACAAACCCACCAACAAGCTGTTGTTCTTGGGTTTGAACCGGACCTATTTGTATCAGCAGCTTCGATTGGTATGTGTTTAAAATGTGGGAAGTTAACTGATGCAAGAATACTGTTCGATGAAATTCCTTAGAGAAATATTGTTACTTGGAATTCTTTAATCACCGGGTATGTTCAAAATGATGATGCTCATGAAGCGTTAATGGTTTCTAAGGAGTTTTTGATTGAGAAGAGTTAAGGAAATGGTGAAGAGGTTGGAACTTCTGTTGATTCTGTTGCTATGGTTTCTGTTTTATCGGCTTGTTCTTGTGTTTCTAATAAAGCAGTCAGTGAGGGAGTTCATGGGGTTGCTATGAAGGTCGGGTTCAATAAAGTGATGGGAGTTGAGAATACTTTGTTGGATGCGTACATAAAGTGTGGTGAAATGAGTTTGCCTGGAAAGGGGTTGGAATTCTATGATTGCTGTGTATGCCCAAAATGGGTTATCGATGGATGCTTTTGAAGTTTTTCATGGGATATTAAAGGATGGTGATGGTAAAGACAATGAAGTGACTTTTTCCACTTTGTTGCTAGCAACCAGGAACACCCTCTTCCTCTAATCATCCTGGTTCGTCTTCTAGTCCTCCCCAGGATTATCAGTTAGTATTGCTGAATCTAAATCAATATTTGTAGATAACTTTAATTCATTGACTTGCGGGTGCAGCTGAAGAAGTTGATGCAGATGGGGAATCAAGCAGCACCATTGCAAATTGCGTTGACCGTGGTAGTTAACACTCATTCCATTGAATTATTTGAAGTATTGCTCTCACTCTCTCTCTCTCTCACTCTCTCTTTTTATGAAGGATGAGATTCTTCTTCAGAAAAAAAAAATATCATTAATCATATGTTATATAATTGCAGTGAGGTCGGCTGGTCTCTTAGACAATGAAATTTGAGGCAAAAGAATTAAAAAAGGTGAGAGGAAGAACATTTTCAAGCAGAAGTTTGACGTTAGAGCAGGAGAAAAGCTGCTAAAGACATCACGCTTCTTTTTGTCTACTGAAACTGGTGCTGTTGCAGGACTTCTTTTTATTTCTACTGAAAAGATTGCTTTCTGCAGTCAGCGATCAATTTCCTTCAATATTCCTAATTGGAAGCACAATGACACAGTCGATCAGGTGAAGATCCTCTTTGCTATATTTTTCATGTCTCAACTAGCTAAAGTCCTATTCAATTGACTTTTTTATACCAATTAATATATTAGTATTCTTTTTTTGAGAAAGTACTTAATGAAGTTTGATATATTTTTCTTTTGAAAAAATTGAACTCATTTTTATTTTTGAGAAGTAGAGCTGAATATTGATAGCAATGGGCCAATTTGCATTACACATGCGAAATTGGATTGTCAGATCATTAATTCTCAAGTTTATTATTTGCGTAATTGATCGGTGGAAAATGCTTCAAATCTTAAAATTCAATATTCTGGCCAATTTGCATTACACATGACAATACCCTACATGCTAAATTGGATTATCAGATCATTGATTCTCAAGTTTATTATTTGCCTAATTGATCGGTGGAAAATGCTTCAAATCTTAAAATTCAATATTCTGGTTTTATTGTTCGGAACTGTAAATTATATTCCTTCTAATACGGATATGCTGCTACTGTAGTTGTCTGCAATTATGTTGGAACAATCGGTCCATGCCACAGCTTATTGTTGACATAGATGTTGAATTCTCTGGTCTGGTTTGCTGGCAGCTTTCCGATTTCAGCCAAGTGCATGTAGAGGAAAAACGGGTTGGTGGGGTTTTCACGTTGAAAATAGGACACTAGGGGATTGCCATGGTTGATTGAACCGCTGCTTTTTGCATGATAGCAGATGGGAAAGTGTACTTGTTATCATCTGGTGATTTAATGGCATAGCTAGTATTTTTAACTTCGCAACCAAGAGGCAGAAGAGGTGACCAAATTCAATCATAGACATCGTTAGAGAACCTAGATGATATGTTTCTGTTTACTGAGAAACTTCTGGATAATACTGGACAGTTGAGGTAATGTATGAAAAAATGAAAGAAAATGGCTCACCTGATCGAATCTGAATAGGCTACATCACAACCAACTCTGCGGCCAACAAGTCAGGTACATTGCTGTAAGTGTTATTGTCCAAAAGCCTTAGCTCCAAAACTGATATGAAAGGTGTCCCAAAACGTGTTTTCACAAGACAAATGTCTATAATATCTGGAGAAAGGACATGGATGATTTCTGTTGTGAGGGGAGTGGATGCATCATTCAGTCTCACTGCTTCCCATCGTGGTTCATCATAGTACCACACAAAAACCCTGCACTGATCAGGAAATTGTTCTTGCTGTCCCCGTGCGTAAGCTTCAAAGGTAACAAATTTTGGTTCCATCAGGGAAGCTTCTGAGATTGAGATATTGCTTGTCTATACCTGTTGTGTTGATTTTGGATGATACATTCTTGTTTACAACAGTGTCTTTGTAGTTTGCATCTGAGATGTAATAGATTCCTGTGATATTAGCTTCATAGCTTGAACCTTATCCAAAAATCTCTAAAAACCATCTAGGTTCTCATTTACCATAAAACTAGGTGGTGATTCATGTATTTAATTTTACCTTCATCAATCCAGAAATAATCAAGATTATTGAGATTTTTCCTATGATAAAATGTCAACTCCGTTGGGAAGTTAGTAAGGGCTAAACTTTGTTTGCTTGGTTGAAAATAATATGCTTGTTATATCATTTTTTTATATGATTATCTATATTATGTGATTTGTTATATTGGTTTTTGTGCTCTTGTTTAATTATTTTTATTTTTTATATTTTCATATATTTTGTTATTATGCATAGTGGATTGAATAGAGACTTATGCCCATACACCCACTGCACGAAACTCATTTGCATATACATCGTTTTAGGTTGGCATGAGGAATTAATGGTGTTTTGATATGGCTTTGTTTTAGGCCAGCACATATAAAACCTCAGAATTTTGTTAAAAGTATATGATGTCACAATTTGTAGCCAATGTGGCTTTGCCTCAGTTTAGACCTTTTACCACTTATAGGCATTAGATCAACCTTTGTGATCCAATCGATGAGCGATTCTTTTAAGACTAAGAGGTTAATTAACTTACCAACACATAATGACTAGAAACCTCCTATAAGACATCTCCATATAATGTCAACACAGCTGCTGCCCATTGGTGGCCGTAAAAGCCTAAGACCGATCTAGTTCCCGATGGCGAATATAAGGCCTTTTCCGCCTCTCTCAATGGACTGACCTGGTCGCCCTTCGGAGTATCCCGGATCGGCACTAGATATCATACCCAATGAACACCTAACCTTCTATTACTCCTCCTTTCTAGAGAGATAGGCAATAAAGAGAAATCGTTTGCCCTAATGATGACATCTAATATGCATGAGATTTCAAGAGATATGCGACAAGACAATCAAGAATAGTTCTAAAATGAATCTAAAGATTGAAAGTTGAGGGGGATTGTCCTAATAGAGGATTGAAAGCATATGCATCTTATGGCTAAAGATGCTGATAAACTCCCGGGGAAAGTATTCAAACGTGTCATTACAAAAAGCCTTGTTATTATAAGCATTTGACATGTCATGATTTCTTTGAGGTGACAGGTTTTGAGACATGACTTGCAAATAAATCATTTTCTATGTTACCTTTTTTTGATATTAAAAAATTAAAAAAAAAAACTTCTTTTAAAAATGTGCGGGTTAAAGAATTAAATTATTTCAACATTTTTAGATGATGGAAAGTCTTAGTCTAACTTTTCACAATATATAGATAATGTTTTGAGCTATTTTGATATTTTTTATTTATTTTTAACTCTTAAAATGAATGTATTAATATGCTATCAATAAAAACATTATGCATCATAAGTGGTCTATTCTCAAATCTTAGTTTTGGACACTAGTCATGGAAAAATTAGACAATAATCCCCCACTACATATGATTGAAATGTTAGTGTATAATATCTTTGTAGCCAATCATTTTGTTATATATGATATTAATTTTTTTTTCATGTAAATATATTTAATTTATTAATGAAAGTTTATATATTTTTAATATTTATTTAATATTTTATTAATAGATATAATACTTTATTAATGAATTTAGAGTAAAGGTAAAATTATTGAAACAAAAATGCTTTGCAAAAAAAATTATAATATTGGAACAAAAATGCTTTGCAAAAAAAATTATAAAACTGTTATATCTAATGAGATTCCTATTATATCAGAGCAATATTTCTAAATGTTTCTTATCAATGTTCTATTAAAATTGGACATTAATTAGAGCTGTTGAGACTAATACATATTATGTTATTTTTTTAAGAAAAAAGTAATTGTTTTTATAAACTAAAGTATGAGTGATATTTATAACTAATATGTTGGTGCTTATCAGATAATATGTATATTAAACTGACTTGTATAAGAATTGTATATGGAGAGATCACTTGTAACTGACTTGCATAAGAATTGTATATGGAGAGATCACTTGTTTCTATATAAAAGCTTACATGATGATTATGTAAGTGATCTTTAAACTTGAGATCTCTAAATTATTTTATATATAAAATGTTTATAGAAAACTATGACTCTTATTTCTAGGGGAAATTGAAAAATATGAGTAGAGTATAATATTAAAATATCAAAAACTCAGAAGAAAAAAAGCTAGAATTATAAGGTACAGCCATCACTCTTTTCTAAAAAGGTTTAAGAGATTTTTTATTAGTGATTTGTATGAATTATCATTAAAGACTAAATATTTGTACAACTTATAGTTCATGATGATCTAGTTTTAAATTTCAAAGTTCAAAAAAACACTTGATCAAATAATATTTGTATAAACCATGTATCTGTCTAACTAGGTTCTTAAAACTCCTGAAAAAAATAATTTATTATTTTCCTTGCAAATAAGTGTGTTTTGAAAAACCTAACTCAGATAATAAAGTTATTGTTGAATAATTGAGGTTGATAATTACATGTTTTAATTTTATTAGTGTTAATTTTAAATTAATTTTAGGTGCAAAATCATTTCTCAAAAATTAATCTCTCCTGATTTTTTTTTTTAAAAAATTGAAAGTCAATTGTTCCAGCAAGATCTGGTTGGATTTCTTGAATCTGGCTGAAATCTGGCAATATTTTGTCTTTTAAAAAAGAGATCTGCCATTAGCACTACTATGAGTAGCATCTTGTGCAATGGTTGCTGCTGCACATAGCGCCAGACGCCATGAGCGCTACCACGAGTAGCTCCAGGTGCTTCTAGGCAGTAGCCATAGCTGCAGCCGACCTGGGCAGCGTTCCCACGCCATAGCAAATAGAAAAGGAAGGGAGATGTGAAGAATTACAATTCTTCCCATGGTGCTTTTTTAGGGTATAATTAGTATTATACCCCTAACACTTGTAATTTATTGCGGAAGGGTTTTGGGGTACCCTTGTCTTTTAATTCCTTATTGCATTATAGAATTACAACTGTTGATTTTATATTTTAAAATTGAAAAATAAATTAAATTAATTATAGAATTAATTTTTCTAATAGGATTAAGATTAACTTAAAATGTTTAATTCAAAATTTTTTATGTTTAATAATATCCTAATTGGGTTAGGATTTAATTAAAATATTTAATTAAATAATGTTTAGAATTTTTTTTCTAAAATAAAGAGTTTTTAAGCCACAAAGTTTTATTTATTTGATCCTAAAATAGTTAAGAATTTTAATAAGAATTTTGATATGATTATTTTTGTTATTAAATTTTGAAATATTTTTTTCAAAGAAAATATACATTAAATAAAGTTTATTATGTTTGAGAAATTATCAAATTGGATTTGTTTTATATTTCTAAATGTTAAAAATTTATTTTAAAAATTACATATAAAGGCAATAATTAGAATTAAAGCATGCAATAATTTTAATATGCATATTAAATGTTATTATGCATGATGGATGATTATAGACATTAAAGATCAATGTGATTATGTGTTTATGGTTCAATGACTATAATATTAAATAAGGTCTACATGTCCTGTGTTTTTTTTTGTTTTTCTTCTAAGTTGTAAAATTATTTTCTCATTCAATTCTCCTCGAATGTAACTTGAATTTTTTTTATATAATTATGTAAATGTTATATAATTTAGAAATGTAGGAATTTAGATATGAAAACCTATTTTATAATTCAAGATAAAGAAATAACAACAAAAAAAGTTACAGTCAAGATGCTCATAAAAGACTTATAAAGATTTGCAACAGCTACCTAGGTTTTGATAATCTAATTCCCTTTGATGGCTTGAGGAAATTAGTTTAGATACATTTATAATCAACCAATTAGAATAACATACTAGGGATGTATATTTATATAAAATTGTTATGTGTAATATATCACTAATGCCATGAAATGAGACTTAATTAAAATAATAAATTCCTCATTAAAATATTAAATACATGTTGAGAATATGATTTATGGCCTTCTGATTTTATATGCATGAAATCATATTTCTATTCATGGATAACTCATTAAGCTACTCAAGGTTACTGTTAATCGCACATGCTTAATGTTATAAAATTAAGTCCTATTGAATGAAATTATATGATTTGAATGAGTAATCTATGATCATATAAGATTGGAGGCTATAGTTAGGTGAAATATATATGATATGTTTAGACAAAAAATTATCACTTAACTGATCTAGAGTCATATAAAGATGTAATTGATAAGTTATGTTATATATCTAATTTAATTTATTTTGATTTTTTAAGTTACCTATAATTATATAAATTAAATAGAATTCTAGTCCACTAGAAGATCTAAATGAGATTTCTCAAGTTAATAATGAAATCTATTAATTTGCAAAAAAAAAAAAATAGTGAGAGACTAAATTATGATTATAAACCTTATCTAAATTTGATTATAAATATTTATGAGTGAAACCAATACTTGTTAACTTTATATGAATAAATTGATAGATTACCATAGATAAAAAAAAGTTTAGATCAAGTAAAATTAAATAAACTTTTTAAAAGATAAACTGACTTGGTTAACTAGCTTGCTAAACAAACTATTTACCTTGAATAGCTTTATGAATGACTTTTGTTAAAAATAATTCCAAACATCAATGCAATTGATAAAGATTTCTCATTTATTATTGATGTTCTAGGATCATCAAAGGTTTATATTGTCATGTCAAATCCTTTATAAACTACCAATGCATCATTTTCAATTCCTTAATATGATGCACTCTTTCCAAGAGTCCAATTACCTTAAACACCTCCATTCTTATTTCAACATGACTTAAACCATAAAAGGTAAAACCATGAGTCATCTTCTTTTATAGTTTCTCTCATCAACATCTATCAACATCTAATAAATACACATCAAAGAACATCTTAACTACTTGAATCAATCTAACTTCCTTTCCCTTTTTAACTCATGAAAGAATTAATGCCCTAGATATCGACATTTCTAGTAATTTCATAATCCTTGAATTTTACAAATATATAAGAGCTTAATGTCCTAAGACCCATCTTAAAATGTACGATGGTAAAATAACTAAAGTTATTGAAGATGAGAAATTAATGATCCATTATTTTTATGATAGCTTGGATCAACTTGCTCTTAACTAGTATATGGGGTTGATTGGCTTTAAAATAAAAAAAAAATGATGAAATTGGATGTCACATTTTTGAAATAGTTTGAACAAGTATGATCTTTATGAAATGGAGAAAAAAATAATAATGAGTCAATCAAAAAAATATGCTTTGAGG